AAATACGCAATTTCATTTAGAGCCGATCCTCATTTGCCGTTGACAGTTCGTTCTCGGTCCGATCTCGGTTTGATTTATTATAATGGATTGGGATTCGACCGAAACATGACTGTTACGGATAGTATGAATGCACACAGATATTTTTAACTTGATAATATTTTATCAGACCGAGATCGAACCGAGAACGCACTGTGAACGGCATTATAATGAGGACCTGCCTTTAGTGTTTTTTTTAAACTACTGAACCGATTTTGATGAATTTTGTATGACACCAATCTGAAAGTAAAAGTCCTTTAAAATTTAAAAAATAACTTTCAAATCAGTTGATAAATGACGGAGTTCTTAGTTTCTTAACAAACACAAAACATAAAAAATAAATTAATTAGTATTAATTACGGTGTACAGCATGCCCTTTTATAAAAAAACACAACCTTATGCAGAACTGCCTCCTTTTTTAAAGTCGGTTAATAAGGGAAAAATTCCACATAATCAACGACCAGGGCTGTCGACGTCCCTCATAAAAAATTAAGTATCAACACGGGCGCTAATCTTTATAACAGTTGCTTACAGCAAAGAACATAATTTTTGCGTGGTAGAACCATGTTGTACCGTGTAACCAGGCTGCACTAAAAGTATCAGGAATGGAATATTTCCACTGTTCCTGTCGAATTAAAATCTTTTTAATTGAAAACTCCTTGGTTTTAAATATCGAAACAATTTTTTATTTAAAAAAAAGATTCTCGGTCTTGTCACAAGGTTTTGTCAAACTTGTTTAGTCGTTGAAAAAATGGAATTGACTCGAGAAAATTCAAGAGGGATGATTAATTATGACTTTCGAAGTGGTTTAACACAAAAAAAGTGTGTTGACCGGATGATTTCTGCATTTGGTGATGAAGCCCCATCCAAAACCACAATTTATCGCAGGTTTGCTGAATTTCAACGTGGACGTGTCAAGCTCAGTGATGATCCCCGTCAAGGTCGTCCAAAAACTGCAGTCACCCAATAAAACGTTGATGCTGTGCGTAAGCTGATTGAGGAAGATCGACATGTGACATACCGCGCAATTTAGGCAACTTTAGACATTGGCATGAGTCAAATACAAATAATCTTGCATGAACAACTAGGTATTATGTATGAAGGAGTTAGAGTTGGAGAATATATGGCAAAATGTAAAGAAAGGTAAGTGGATGCAGCTGCCGAAGTATGTGGTGATAGTAAGAGAAAGAATGAAAGGAAAATAATACGTTATGGTGGGATGATGAGATACGTATGGAAGTTGAAGCAAAGAAGAGAGCATGGCTAGATTTACTAGCAACAAAGGCTGCTAATTCTAGTGGTACGAATGGCGATATTGAAAGAAAAAAGACAGTCTTTAGACATCTTAATAAGAGAGTAAAAGAAGTAGTTGAAGAAAAAAGCAAAAAAGAATGATAGAAGAATATCGGATAACTTCCAGGCAAATATTAAAATGTTCTGGAAACTTGTAAGAACTGCCAGGGGACATTCAAAACAGCCTATGATGAATGCTATAAGAGACGAGAATGGCTATATTCTGAATGATGAAGTTTTGAGTTTAAAGAGATGGAAGGAATATTTTGAAAGCGTGTTTATGAGTGAGGAGACAACATGTGTACTAAGTGAAGTAGAAACAACTGAAAGAAGAGGAAAGAGGTAGCGAGATAATTATATATAAATATAGATGAAATAATGAAAGCAATGAAAAGCATGAAAGCAGGTAAGGCTGCCGGATATGATAGAGTTTCACTCGAAATGCTAAGGGCTGGAGAGGAAGTGGTGGCAGGCCTACTGCACACCTTGTTTAATTTATGCTGGGAACTGAAGCGGGTACCGGTAGACTGGTGCAAAGCCGTGATAGTCCCAGTATATAATGGAAGAGGGTCGCAGCGGGACTGTAAAAACTACCGTGGTATCAGCCTTCTTAGCATTGTGGGAAAGCTGTATGCTAAGGTACTGATTGAAAGGGTCATGAAAGAAACTGATGGAAAAATTTGGGATGTGCAAGCGGGATTTAGAAAGGGAATGGGATGTACAGATCAAGTCTTTTCCATGCGCATGATCGCGGAGAAGTTTCTGGCCAAAAACCAAAAGGTTTTTTGTGCGTTCATGGACTTGGAAAAGGCCTATGACAGAGTGGATAGGGATTTGCTATGGCAAACACTGAACTCATTTGGGTTGAGTTAGGATCAACGGGGTCTACTCGGACTGGTTTGACATCCATAAAGGTGTCAGACAGGGCTGTGTGGCTTCCCCGTGGCTGTTCAACCTATTTATGGACAGTTGTTTGCAAAATTTGAAAGTTGAAGAATGCGGATTAAGAATGGGTGAGTTAAACGTCAAATGCCTTTTGTACGCCGATGATCAAGTTATTCTTGCGCCGTCGCGGGGGCTGAGTTGCAAATGATGGTTACATTAATGAACGGATCATTAAAAGAAAGGAGTATGAAAGTGAACGCAAGTAAGACGAAGGTTATGGTTTTTGAAAGAGAAGAAAGTAAAACGATTTGTGAAATAAGAATAGAAGAAGAGAACGGAAATAGTTGATCGAGCAAGTAGATGAGTTTGTATATTTGGGCTGCGTATTTAGTAGGGATGGGAGATATGATAAGGATATATAACGACGAGTGAATGCGGGAAATAGAGTAAATGGGGCCTTCCACTCTATTGTGAAGAGTCAAAATGTGTCGAAAAAGGCACGTATGGCAATTCACAATGCTGTGTTGGTCCTTACTTTAACGTATGGTAGTGAAAGTTGGGTGTGGCAGAAGAAGCACGAGAGTAGAATAAGCGCAGTAGAAATGCGGTCGTTAAGGAGTATGTTAGGGCTGAATCTGAATGACAGGGTAAGAAATTGTATAGTAATAGAAGAGTGTGGTTTGCAAGATGATGTTGTGACCAGGATTAAGAAAGGAATGCTTCGGTGGTTTGGTCATGTGGAAAGAATGAATGAGGAAAGAGTGACAAAGAAAATTTATGGTGTAGAAGTGAATGGCAGAGTCGGAAAATCCAGGCGAAAATTTATCGACCAAATTGGCGATTTATTGAAAACGGGCCAAATTAGGAGTACCCTTAACCGACGAGCATGTATGCGTAGGTGTATGGATGTGAAGGAGGCAAGAGAGGTGTGTCAGGATCGTGCCAAATGGAAGTCTGTAGTCTCTGCCTACCCCTCTGGGTGACAGGCGTGAGTGTTTATGTATTTATGTATAACAATTAGGTGTAAAAAAGTTGTTTTCCCGATGGATACAGCATTCGCTCTGTGAAGAGCAAAAAGCGGCTCGCGTTACTTGGTGCGTCAGAACTCTCGAAAGATTCCACGCAGGATCCTCAAGTGATGTATATAACATCGTATCGGGTGACGAATCCTGGATATATGCGTACGAACTCGAAACAAAAAACCAGTCACGAGTTTGGGTGTTCGAAAATGAGTTAAAGCCAACAAAAATTGTTCGTTCACGGAGTGTTGCAAAAAAAAATGGTGGCCACGTTTGTCTCCAAAACCGGCCATGTTACGACTATTCCTCTTGAAGGACAAAGAACGGTTAGTACAGAATGGTATGCTAGCATTTGCTTGCCACAAGTCGTTTCTGAACTCCGTAAAGAGAACTGCAATCGCCGCATCATCCTCCATCACGACAATGCGAGTTCTCACACCGCACACAGAGCAAACGCAAGAAAACATAGAATTATTAGACCATCCGCCGTATAGCACCGACCAAAGCTCTAATGATTTCTATACTTTCCCTAAAATAAAGAATAAATTGCGTGGACAGAGATTTTCATCACCTGAAGAAGCTGTGGACGCCTACAAAACGACCATTTTGGAGACCCCAACTTCCGAATGGAATGGTTGCTTCAATGATTGGTTCCATCGTATGGAAAATGTCTAAAATTTCGCGGAGAATACTTCGAAAGCAATACATTTTAAATAGTAATGTTGTGTCACTTCCTTGATTCCCGAAATTTTCAGTGCTGCCCTCGTATGTAGTTATATTATGGTTTTAACACTAATGTGTCGGCTTGACCGGGAAGAACCACGCTCTTTCAGAATCATCATCATCATCATCATCATTACAGCCCTTTACAAGTCCACTGCTGAACATAGGCCTCCCCCAAGGTACGCCACAAAGCACGGTCCTGAGCCACCTGCATCCATCGACTTCCTGCATGTCTTACCAGGTCGTCACTCCATCTAGTCGGGGGTCGCCCTACACTTCGCCTACCGTCACGAGGCTGCCACTCGATAACATTTTTACCCAACGGTTGTCGGTTCTTCGAGCTATATGGTATCTTTCAGAATACCATCGTGAAATAGCATCTTAATGCTGCTGTGTTTCGTATGTTGAGTGTAAAGAACTGCAGACCCTTTTTGCTGGATAGAAAGCATTCCACCTTTGTCCACACGGGTGACAATGCATCTTCATTTTGATTCTTAATCGAGGATAGATGCAGGTGTCTAAAGACATAGCACACATTTAATTCAGTTGGAATTTAGGTACGTGTGTCACATATATTTAAAAAAATCTTTAGCATCTTAAGTAAACGCTTAACTATTTTTTATTTTACTCCTATTACAAGTAACGAGGCATTTCACCTTTTTCTTCAAGGGTAACGCCATTTTGATGCATGGTGACAACGCATTTGCATGAAAAATGCAGATGCGTTGTCACCCGTAAGGTCTGAACCTCACCGTCTCTGGTTCTCTATACTTACCTTAGGAAATACAGCATCGTTAATCCCGGTCGAGCCGACCCATTCGTGTTACAACTATAATATTGCTGAAGCATGGCTCGATTGCGAATAAACACACTCTTCGATACAGATAAAATTATTATTTTGATAATTTTATCATACTGTTTCAATTCATGACTGACACTTATATTAATACTGATTAAAACGGTTTTGATATTCTGTACAAATGTTTTAATAAAATACTTTTTGGCACATATTTATAACTAGTTTAACGTGAACAAGTTAATTTCTCAAGTACATTTGTTTTTAACGTTAATCCCTCCTTCATAATTCGTCCCATCACCGGCTCTCTCCATCCTAGCCTGGATAATTTCATCAGGAACCGTCTTCAGGTCGTAAGCCCAACCAATCCAAGCGAAGAAATCTATGACTTGCGCACTTGGGTTTAGCCAGTGGTTTCCTAGCTCACTCGCCTTGTAGTCCCACGGGAACGCGTGGTGATAGTTGTGAAATCCTTCACCAAGGGTGAAAAAGGACACTGAACTATTCTCAACAGGGGAAATTTTCTTATCGTAGGGCCTGTAACCCCATTTGTGGGCAACACTGTTCACCAAAGAGATCGCGTGAATGTTTAGAACGAATCTCAACATCGTCAGATGCCAGGCGCTATTCAAGGTTTCGTTCCAGAAATACATTGGTATTAGCGTTGGTAAAATGAAACAGCAAGAACCAATGACGGGACCCGCGTATCTGAAATAATATTAAAATAGTGATCTAGTACAATATGATACGTATAAATGATGTTTGTACATATGAAATCGTTTAACTCAAAATCTATTTGATCGATCACCATGAAAATTGGTATATATAGGTACATACACACACACACACACACACACACACACACACACACACACACACACACAATATATACACATATATATATATATATATATATATATATATATATATATATATATATATATATGGTGTAACGTAATTAACACACACCCTCAGATTTACACCCCAATTAATATATTATGTTATTATCATAATACATACACTGAATTTTTAGTTTTTATGCACTGATTATTTATCAAATTAGTTATACTAATTCTGGAAGAATGTTGTGGTTACAGTACAAATCCACGAACGCAAAGACTTTAACGTGCTTGAATTAAAGTTCATTTTTATTGAATGACATAATTAGTAATAATTATAATAAAAATTACCTATATTAAAAATTATAGGAATCGATTCATTAAACGATTCTAAACAAACTACTTTCTCAAAGTGCGTTAATTATGTTACGTGGTGTGTATATATATATATATATATATATATATATATATATATATATATATATATATATATATTCTTTTCAATGGCAAAGGTTTATAAAAGCTAAAAAAATTTAAAATAAAAATTTTAAATTTTTGTTTTTATTTGTTTTTTTTTTCAATCAAGCGCGGCATTACTTAAATTTCATGTTCTACTCAAAATAAAAACGTTGCTGAACACAACCTATGATATTCACTGTTTAGCTAGTACAATATGTAAGGGCTTCAGTGAAACATCAAAAGTCGATGTGGTCATATATTATCCAAACACAGCGTTTATTTTGCATAATTTTAAATTTAGTTTTGAGTTTGTATTTTTTTTTGCATTGCTTATGAATTCGTACGGTTGTACTTTTGCCAGTGAATGTATATTAAGAAATTATTCTTTATAATGATTTGTTTCAAAACTTCTTCACAATATGTTGACGCGTGTCGTTGTGAAGTTTTCTAGAGATTTCAACGGCAGCTTGAGCCAGTAGACAGTCGATGACGATAGCATCTCAAGGCGCCTGAACACCTTATCTATCATTCACATCAACATCGGAGTTCTGGTAACATCGTTTCCACTAATAGTTTACATGGGCAGATATTTAATAAAGAAAATCGCACAACTTTTACTGTTCTTTTTTATTGTTCGGAAAATACCCATGTTTGACTTTTTTAAAACATATTTCACCTTACATAATTTTGTTTGTACAATTTTTAAATGGATTTTAATGGAACCAGCATGGAGGCCAATACCTCACTCCTAGGGGTTATTTTCATTTATGTATTATTATTTGATATTATAATAACCCTTATTGTACAATTTTTCTGTAATAAAACATTTAGACTTGTTTACTGAAAAATTTTGTACAGTGCCCCGTAAATAAATTACTAAGTCAAGTAACTCGTATTACAAGCTTATGTTTTTTCCTAGTGTTTAAAGTATAAACATCTTTATTCTTATGAAAGCTATTTATGTTTTTGTGTACATACATTAAATTTTCATAAATATATTGCGATGTTAAAGTCAATATGTTTTTTTTAAAAAAATCGCTAAGGGACTCTTTACAATTTAAGTTATAAACCACCCGTACAGCTATTTTGTGAAGTGAGTGTAGAGACCCTCTTTACGGTTAACGAGCCATTGTGTCTAAGTCATCAAGATTGACAACGCATCTGAATTTTGATTCTAAATCTTGTAAAGATGTCTTCAGCTCACTGTATCTACTTATCATTAGGTGAACTCGTTTGTCAGCCTTATATAATTTTTTATAGGATCTGGCTCTGCAGACGTTATTCTATCCTTTCCGATAGTTAGTGCGAACGCTATGCTCTGCATTAGTTATGGATTTTGACTATGGTTTGTTTGTTATGGTACATTTAGTAATACGTTCCAATGAAAAAATAACGGCGTTACACTATGGGTGCGTTTGGCAGAAAAAAGCGCTAGCAAGCGCTTGTAAACAAAATGGCGATCGTAAGCGGTAAGTGCTGTCAAAGCGTAAGTAGCTATTTTCCTCCAGGACACGATGTTAGTTTTAACCGGGGAATCTAACCTAATTTAAATATATGTTTGTAAAGTATTCATATTAAAAACTTACCAATCATGAATTTTTAATAACATGTATATGTCTATTCATGTCATTATATTACTTAAAACTAATATTGCACAAAACAACTTATAAACTCTACTTCAAAACAAACAAATTAAATAAGCAAAATGGCGGATTGTGTCAGCGCTACTGAAGTAGTAATCGTGTCCTGGCCGAAAACTATTTTAGCGCTTGTAAGCCCTTGCTAGCGCTTTTTTCTGCCAAACGCACCCATTCATTGATCATTGTCAAGTTGAACAGGGTGGACGTGATTTGAATTTCGAATTCAAAATTTATTTTTAAAAATTGAATTAAAAAATATCTATTCCATATATTTTATAACCTGTTTGCTTTCTTTCGGTAAAAGTGTCACCTAGTATAGGTGGCTTACAACTTTTATAATCTCACTGCGCTCACCACTCGTTACCCGAATATTTTTGTATTAAGGAGCAATCATCATCATCGTCATCATCCACGTCAAGTCCACTGCTGTACAAAGGCCTCACCATAGATTGCCTCTTAGAGGGGATATTTAGGAGGCAGAAATAGGTACGAGGTATCCAGATGAATTTCTAGATAGAAAAATAGTTTTACCAACTAAGTTAATTTAAGTTAAGTAATATTTTTTTTTATTTATTAAGGTTTACCAATGTTTGATTACACTGTATTTAACAAAATGGCTTAAGAACTAACTTACGTAGCTAAGTGTAACAATCGTTTAAGGTAAACACCACATGCATCGAGAAAGATTATAAATACGAATAAAAAGAAGTATAAATTACCTAATAATGAAAATAAGTATGTGGTAAAAATATTATTATTATTTGTTGGTTTCAGACCAGGCTAAAGCTAGAACTTTCTTAATTTTGGCAAATGAGTCGACGTGATTGTCAACTTTGTCACTATGTTCATTGACTTCAGCTTACTAATCCGTTGGGCTATGTCGGTCACTCTGGTTTTACTGCGGATATCCTCATTTCTAAGTCTATACGCAGAGAAACTCCGAGCATAGCCCTGTCCATAGCTCGCTGAGCGACCTTGAGCGTCCTCATACGGCCAGCAGTAACGACCACGTCTCAGATCCGTAAGTCATCACTGGCAACACGCACTGGTTGTACAATCTAGTTTTTAGAGATTGAGGTATACCTGACGAGAAGATATGTCGTAATTTCCCGAAAGCTGCCCAGCCGAGTTGAATCCGTCGATTGACCTCTCGGTCGAAGTTGGACTTACCGAGTCGGACTATTTTTCCCAGGTAAACGTACTCGTCAACAACTTCGAGCATAGTGCTCCCAACAACTACCGGCATAGGTGTGACATGGACATTAAACATGATCTTTGTTTTGTCCATGTTCATCTTAAGACCTATCCGTTGGGAGGCACTATTGAGGCCATTGAGCATAGTGCTTAAGTCCTCCAGCGATTCTGCCATAAGGACTATATTATCGGCATATCGAAGGTGAGTGATGTACTCGCCATTGACGTTAATACCGTATCCTTTCCAGTCCAGTGGCTTGAAAACGTCTGCCAATTAAGCGATGAAGAGTTTCAGGAATATTACGTCACTATGTCTTACACCTCTCTGCAGTTGGATAGGTTTCGAACTCTGGTTCTGTACTCGGATAGCCATCGTAGCCCTACTGTACAACCACTTCAGCACTTCGATATACCGACAGTCAACTTAGCACCACTGAAGAGACTGTAGCACCGCCCAAATTTCGACGGAATTAAAGGCTTTCTCATAGTCCACATACGCCAGGCAAAGTGGCAGATTGTACTCTTCAGTCTTCTGTACAATCTGCCGCAGGGTATGTATGTGGTCTATGGTACTGAAGCCTTTTCGGAAACCGGCTTGTTCGGGAGGCTGGAAGTCGTCGAGCCTGCGTGCGAGACGATTCGTAATGACTCTCGAAAACAGCACGTAGACGCGGCTCAGAAGGGAAATCGGTCTGTAGTTCTTCAAGAGAACGTTGTCGCCTTTCTTAAAGAACAAGACCACCGCACTTCTGCTCCACGCCTCTGGAGTAGTGCCACCATGGAGGACGGAATTGAAGAGCTTCTGAAGGACTTCAAGTACCGGTGTTCCACCCGCTTTCAGAAGCTCCGCTGTAATTCCATCTCGCCTGGGGCCCTGCCGTTTTTAAGGTGCTGAAGAGCCATTCTAGTCTCGCTTAGACTGACGTCCGGGATATCATCGGAATAGTGTCGGATAAGACTTGCTCTTGAATCGTTACTCACATTTTCGTGTGGCTCCAACGATGATGTGTACAGCTGCCCATAGAACCTCTCAATCTCACTCAAAATTTCCACTCAAAATCTCAGGACAGATCTCTGGCAAAGACTTTGGAGCTCTGGTTCCGCTCGATCGCTTCTTTAATACGAGCAATATTAAAGTTGCGTAAGTCTCGTCGAATAGATTAAATTTTTTAAATTCCATTTCATTAAATCGCAGTTTTCAACTGTTTTGTCTGATGCGTTTGGTTCATTATTCGAATAGGGCTTAACAGATTTCCGTTATTGCATTGCAAAACACAGGGTGCCAATATCTGGGCTTAGGATTGTTTTCTTCAAATCACACTGTTTGTTTTTAATAAGTGTAGAATAAATACGTATACGTATTTTAATACTTATTTTACTGTAAATCTTTGCTATTACGTTACTTTACAAAACAAGCACACAGCCCACCTGTAGATGGTAAATAGATGTTGTTTCCCATAAACATCTACATCTATCCTAAGTTAAGGTGATGTGGGCGCCAAAAGCATATTTTTCACGCTTTATATGTAGGTGCGCAGAAAACAAATTTTTTGTCATTAACATTAACATTAACTATGAATTCACATCTTTTTAATTCAGTATGAAAGTTAAAGATTTTTCTTAGTGAATTATGTCGGCCAAAACATGATTGACATGTTTCGCCTCGATACCAAAAGATCACAGTTTCCTCAAAATTTACAGTTTTAAGTACGTCCTTTTTCGAAGCCGGTAGAAAATAGAAATTCTATCTAGTGAAACGTAGAATACTTAACGTGTACGTCACCAAAACTCAAAACTATCAATTTTTCCTGAAACGTTCAATTCAGAAACCGGCTCAGAGTTTTGTAAACTGTTAGATAACAATCATTTTGCCAAGCCCAGTAGAATTGCAGGGTAAATAATTGATTAAAAAAATCCAGGGTAAATAACTTTCATAACCTTTGATGGATAGTTCTATTCAATTAATTAAGAATCAATAAAATCGATATCACAATCGGCAACGATATTGTTCAACGTAAAAATAATTGCGTTGATAGTCTCTTCCATTTCTAATGTCATGTCGTTTAACTGCCGTCGGTCATAGTGTTGCGCGCCACAGTTGATGCCCGGTAATGCCCCCAGCGCCATCTAATGTCGGGTAGTAGAGCAAGGAGAGCGTCATAGAAAATACTACGCTAGAACTTTCCAAAAAAGAAAAGGGCTATATAAAGCCGTTTAGAGCTGCGACCGGAGAGTATTGAATTGGCGATACGAGCGAAGCTTTCGGAGCGAAATAAAGTAAACTAAAGTGTTAAGTGTGATTAATTTTTAGTATGATCTAAGTTTTAATTGGTGTTCGGTAGTTAAAGTGTCAATTTTAGCAATTCAATCGGCAGTTTTTATTGTCACGAACTTTAAGCTCGTAATAATATTTTATACATCGTATAATATTTTAAATGCAATATTCTGTACAAAGTGACCGACACGGCAGTCAAACACTTAAAAAGAAAATGATTTGAAAAGATGCTGATGATGATGTTTTAAGATTCATTGCTAGGAGTTTTTCTGCATGATAGTCTTCGTAATCAGAATATTAGAATAACCGTAGTAACAAACAAAGCCCAACACGAATTGGTACCTAAATTTAGTGGCAACATGCCCGCCATATAGCTCGAAAAAGCGACAACCAATGAAATTTATTGAATAATTGTTGATTAAAACTACTTTTACGGATTTTATCGCGTTTATTTTTTACTTTTTATTTACTTTTATTTTTAATTCCCGACGTTTTGGGCGCTTTCCAGCACCCATGGTCACGGGGGACTGAGATGACTGACGTCCCGATGTCATTGTTAAACCCGGAGTACCTTCAGCTTTTTTAATTATTGTTTATGGTCCGATCTATGCAAAATGAACTGACTATGTCCTGAGGTCTTGCAGTGGTATGCTTGGGTTTAGTTTTAATTTTATTGATTATAGGATCCCAAGCAGGTGGTAGTACCCAGCCTCCTTCTCTATTGAAATTAGGATGTTTTTTAATTTCAATAGCCTCACGTATCATCCTTGGTAGGAATCGGTGTTCTTTCGCGAGGATTTGTGGTCAGTGGTCATTTGTGGATGAGGATATATAGTGTTCGCGTAAATATAAGAAATCATTACGAATAATTGTTTTTAGTTTTAATTTATTTTTGTTCCTAATTCACACCTACCATCATATTTAGTTCTTCCATATTTGTTAGGGTGGGTATTCCATTTTACTCTGATAGAGAATACTATAGGTCAGAGAACCTTTATATATGAACGTGCCATTTTTTTTTTCAAAAGAAATGTTTACTTAAGTAACAGACGTGCCGTAAAATAATTTTGTCTTCGTGATTACGGGGAAAATACTATTAGTACTTTAAATATTATTGACTCAAAATACTTTATTTACTACAAAAAATAAATAAAAAGCATATATTGGAATCGTAAACCCCTAAATATAACACAAATGAACTTTTAAATACGGTTGTGTCAACGAAATTGACTATCATGCTATGCGTAAACGATCTATGCATTCCTTGGGGGTGCCGTGGACTTGTGAAGGGATGTAATGATGATGATGATGATGATGGTGAAACAACTATGCGTCATTAGCAATGGTAGTCCACGATTTAACTAGGATCACTCGCGTCCGTTTGTAATACAATACATCATAGTGAATTTTGTGATCTATGGCGTGTCCAAATATTGTCCCGTGCAAATCATGGCGCTGAGCCCCATTTCAAGGTGGGTTGCAACTAAGAATTAATAAATAAATACCATGTGGACCAAGTAAGTTAATTCATGCGAGTGACTCAGGGCCTTACTTTGTGGCATCCTTGTTGAAGATCTTAGGATGTAAGTAAAATTGTTATTGACTTACTTCTTCTGAAATCTCAGCACTGGATTATTGTAGATATCGTCCATATATATGGTTTTGCTCAACCGCTTCAGTTCAGAATGCTTCCTGGTCAATAACCAGCCTATGTGTGAGAAGAAGAATCCTCGTTTCGCGTTATGTGGGTCGGCGTTCGTGTCGGAATATTTGTGGTGCATCCTGTGGTCTCTGATCCAGTTCGTAGCGGTACCTTGACAAGCAATAGAGGTGCAGATCATGAGCAGTATTTGGAGGGGCATCTTTGCTTTGTACGCTCTGTGAGTCCACAGTCTGTGGGATCCAACAGTGGTGCCGCCGATTGAGAGCGCCCATAAGACGTATGCTGTCAATAGAAAAATTAAATAAGATTCCTAACATTTTTTATAGGAAAAGGGTGGCCCATAGACATCTACATCTATCCTCGACTACGAATAAAAAATGGAAATGCATTGTCACCCGTGAGGACTAAGATGGAATGCTTCGTTTCTATTAAAAAAGTCTCAGTTTCTCAACACTCACCATGGGAAACACAGCAGCGTAAAGCTGCTATTTTACACTGGTATTCTGTGAGAGCGTGGTCCTGCCCCGGTCGAGCCGACCCATTCGTGCTACAACTATACTACTAATTTGGCTGCAGCATGGCTTCACCACGTATATAAATAAGATAAAGAGGAACAGAGCCTGAACAAATCGTAGAATACACAGGCTAGTGGTACCAGTTCCTCGACTCCACAGTCAGTAATTCATCCGTAGGACAATGTTTACGCTATTACAACAAAGTCCCAGAAAATATACAAGGTCACTCTGTTACCAAGTTTAAATATTTAATTAAACAAAAACTGTATAAAAAGGGTTATTATGATAAAAATGAATACATGGTTGATAATAACTCCTGGGAACGAGGTGGTCACTTCCAAGCTATTTCTAAAATAAATTTTGTAAATATTTTGTGACCATTGACATTGTGAAATTTATTTAAAAAAAATTCCCGCTGAGTTTCTTGCTGGTTCTTCCCAGGACAGAAGTTTCTTTTCGAACCAGTGGTAAAGTATAAAATTGACTTTCAATAAGAATTACTTGAAATATATATCTATTGAAAAAAAATATTCTATTCTATTCAAATGAACGCTTACCTTAAAAATTATGTACACGGAATGAAATTAAAGGACAATGGCGAACTCCCAAACAAACTTTATGTGACTGTTTTTTCTTGCGTCTACAAATGCAAAATATGTAAAAATATAGAGTTTAAAATCCTGAACATTTTTTTCTTCGGTCATACAACTGCAGGAAGTCAGGAATTAAAGATATTCCAGTTTAAACAAAATACACATCAGACTAGGCTGTATGTTATAAAACGCCTTAATTGGCAAATCGTTACAACAACTATTCGTCAATATAATTTTCATATAAGTTTATATAGGGTAATTAATTACTAGCACAGAAAGAATCTTAAAGAACGCATTAGTATATATAGAAGAGTTTTCTGAATACAATACACGTCAAACTCGGCTGCATGGTAAAAGACTTTGCCTGTCTTAACTGACGAATCGTAACAACTACAACAACTAGTCAATTAAGTTTTGAATTGTGTAGGATGAGTTTTTCCAGACTTCGATAGACAAAAATAAAAAGAAATCGTAATGGTGACATAAGTAGAAGCTTAATAATTCCATTATTTTCAGACTTCGATAGGCCATAAGCTTGATTAGATAACAAGAGGTAAATTATTTTATTGACATCTGTAATGGTAACTTAAGTAAACGTTTAATAATTCCAGCACATATCATTTCGCCATTGTCCTTTATACGCATCTACTGAACGTATTTGTCTACTTATATTAAGAAATCTTTTATATTAAATTGAATAAGTAACTGTTTAGACTCGGTGTAAAAACATCCACTAACCTATGTCGTCCCGTGGGTGTAATAACAGGCCACAGAGCGAAATAAAACCAGTAAATAGGCAGCAGTGCTCTTACAAATAACAATTTTAAAATAAAAAAATGCTATTGACATCCCGCACCCCACACTTGTCAAAGAGTATAGTAAATATAAAGAAAAAGAGAGCCCTCTTTCGAGTATAACTGATGCCCCTTGGAAAAAGCGCCACCTGATGCTTGTTACGCCACCTATAATACGCTCATGTGTATATGTGTGTTTATTCTAATTCACCCACACGATAATGATCTATGAATGTGTGCGTGTGTATATGTATAATGCTCATTGCTCACTCTCACATTCAATAGTATATATTATATTCGTTAATCACATATTCCAGCTATTTCCATTCCAACTTTCTACATCTGTATATAAAAATTGGAATGGAAATAGTAACAAATTAATATAATATATACATTTTGGAATTTTTCAAAATTAATTATCACGATACATGCAACTATCCCACTTTAGAGAGAAAGCTGTGGGGAATTCCATGTTCATCAGTGGAATTTTAATAGGTTATAAGGGTAATGGTAAATTATTAACAACGATAAAGAAAGTAAAAAAAATTAAAAAAAAATGTACAACCGACGTCAATACTTTTACGTGGTAGATAGATAAATAGATAATTCTTTATTGTACACAAAATCAATACATAAACGAAAGAAGAAGAAAAAAAAATAGTGTCATAATGGGCGGTCTTATCGCTAAAAGCGATTTCTTCCAGACAAACTTTGGATGGACAGGATCGCAAAAAGTAGTAAATTGTATGGTTTGGTGATGCAGAAACAACATTTATAAATATATCCATATTTTATATAACATAATTAAAAATAAACAACAAATAAATACAAAAAATACGAATGTATACTACATATATAGATAGCACGAACTCAACGATTAAGATTGTGACTGTGTACAAGTTCCTGAAAAACAGGTAAAAACTGTGGTAGAGTCACGCCGCAGCTATATTATAGTTGTAGCACGAATGGGTCGGCTCGACTGGGGCAGGACCACGCTCTTACAGAATATTAGCGTAAAATAGCAGCGTAATGCTGCTATTTTGTATGGTGAGTGTAAAGAACCGGAAATCATTTTTACTAGAATTGAGGCATTCCATCTTAGTTATCAGGGGTGAAAACACATTTGCATTTTGATTTTTAATTGAGGATGAATGTGGATGTCTATGGGCCACAGCATTCACTTACCATCAGGTGGACTGTGTGCTCGTTTGTCACCCAATGCTTTAAAAAAATATAAATAAAATGAGAACATCATCAATGTTTGAGGTTTGATGGCTCCGTGGTGCAGTGGCTCAGCAATTAGTGACTGCGTTAGGGGCCGCAGGTTCGAATCTCACACGGAACGAGTTTCTGTATGGCCTACAAAAAATTGTTCCGGGTCTGGATGTTTGTACTTTTGCAATTTATTTCTGTAAAGTGACTCCATGATACATGAGAAAATCCTAGTGTAGATGTAACTTTGAAACAAATAGTCGAAGTCAATTAAATACGCATTATTAAGGATAACTCAAAAACTACTGGTTAAATATTAATCAAATGTATACGTGACTACATGAAAAGCATCAGTTGTCAAATAAAAAAGAATCATCAAAGTTCATCTAGAAAAATAGTAACACACATGAATAAATACAGTCGAATTGAGTACCTCCTCCTTTTTGAAGTCGGTTAAAACCTTAAAAAATAAGTAAAGTACCAGGACGTCATGATCTCTGAAAAGTGCTGCTATTAGGCTCGTAGATCTTTGTTTGATTTGTTCCGATACGTGCGACCTTGAATTTGTCTTTGTTCTGACCGATAAACGGTATGCGTAAAATTTTTCGAATTCAAGATTTAATGGTGTTGATTGTTATTATTTTTTTGCTAATTAAATTTTTGTGTTTATTTTAAACAATGATCAATTGAAAAATGACATTTTAGGATGTTAAACGTTTTTCTTACTGGCAATATAAGAACTTTAGATTTGCATTAGTTTAGTTCTAACGTTGTTTGTATCTAAGCGTGTTGTGGCGGTGTAAGAATATCCACTACGCTATATTGTCCCACCTCATATTGTGAGTATCGTGAGAGAAAATGAAGGGAAATAATCCTGGAGATGAGCAACAATATCTTTCTGCTAAGAACAAAAATTTAATTATAAAACTGTGGTTTCCAATTCGCTTGATAATGTGGTATCTATGCTAATAATGCATCCTCCCATGATTAATAAATACAAACTAGATTGAGGGCAAAATGCCCAGAAGAGGGCATTAAGAGGTTGATGAAAAATCACAGCGAAGTTTCTATCATAATTAAAAGGATGTCAATGATTTTAACTACAGCCTGTATAAGTACTTAGAATGTACCAATTAATACTTCTCAGGTGGTATTATGAAAGTTATAAAAGTTAAAGTAACAGATTACCTACATAATAGAGGTATGAAGTTGTCATTTTAATGGAGTGTTCACTTTAAATTAAAATTAAGCCTGTGTGGCCCGGTATTCGCATTTCAAACTTTTTGTACGCGATAACTTTTACATTCTAAATTCAAAATTTTATGACATTCTGTTATCCTACATTCAACAGTTTTTAATCGACTTCAAAAATGGAGGAGGTATTAATTCGATTGTTTTTTATGTGCTCAGAATTTTTTTTCTAGGTGAACCGATTTTGACGACGCTTATTTGGAAGCGGATGCTCCTCATGTGTAGGACCACATATAAATTTGATCAAAGACTGACCAGTAGGTTTTGACTTAGTATCCATAATAATGCGTATTTGACTTCGACTACATTGATGATGTTCTCATTTTATTTATATTGAAGTCGGTTGTACAAAATTTTTAATTTTACAATTGTTTTAATCAGTATTTGAATTGAACAAGGTCATTTATTTTTATGTTCTGTATGTCAGTTGAACATGGACACCTTTTAAAATATCGTACGTGAGGGTAATATGGTCATCCGGTTAATATGGTCACTTTCTTATAACTTAAAAACTACAGCCTTGTTTGAATAGATGGCTCTGCGATACGATAGCTCTTCATAAGTCAACCAAATAATAAAATGTAAAAACGACGGTGCTTTATCGACGCCATTTTGACATTTGAAATTATATTAAATATTTTAGTAGATTTTAGTATTGTGTAGCGTAGTTAGGTTTTTTAAGTAGATTTTTCGAAGTGATCCTAATTATTGCCAAAGTTTATCTGCTATTGTTTTCTTAATATATTGGTTATAGTATTTGACTTTGTTTTTTGTCTCTGTCCTCCTCTTAGTTTTTTATCTATAGTGCGGCAAAGCTTAAGATGACCATCTTGCCCTCACGTACCTTAGAGTAATCTTCAAATTCGAGTTCCGGCGTAGTTCTAACGCAGCTCACAAATTGCGTTTAGAATGACACTAACAAACTCATTGTGTGTTTTCGTTTTAATTGTTATCTCAGTCCGAGAGCAAACGTTCACGCGGATTGAAAAATTTTTAATGACGCCCTCTGGCCCTCTAGCGACAATAGAATGAATATTAAATTAAAATAAATCATAACACAGAAAAGGTACTGGGTGAAAGATTATTATTATTAAGAGAAAACAATTTGATATAAATATATTATAACACATAGTAGAGTCATACTGCAGCTATATTATTATAATTTTTTAAATTTCATAAAACCTTTAGGCTATTTATAGTAATAAATTAGTATCTTATTTTTCGTGTAATAATACCATTGAGGATCGTTGAAATTTCTAGTAGGCCCAAAAACGATTGTTTCCTTTACCGAAATTTACACAGCAAATATGAATAAATATTTTAGTCTATTCTTTGTTTGTTTCACGTCAATGCCAAAATTTTGTTAAGATACTGTGTTTTTCAAAAACTCGGCTGCTCCAGAATACCAGCGGTAACCTAAACCCACCACATAGCTGAGTCGCAGGCCAGTTGTTCTCATTGCTTTTATGTTACTTAAGTATGTTTCTAAGTTAAGTTTGTGATGATTTTATTTGTACATTTTTAATAACATGTGTGAATTGAGACAAATAAAAAGCTTTATTATTATTATTACGGTTGTAGCACGAATGGTTCGGCTAAACCGAGGATGGACCACTCTCTCACAGAACGTGGAATAGCAGATTAATACTGTGAGTGTGTGTAATAGTGTGAGTGTGGAGAACCGGAGACCATTTTAACTGGAAACGAGGCATTCCACCTTAGTCCTCGTGGGTAATAAGGCATCTGCATTATGATTTTTAATTAAAGATAAATGTAGATTCTTTGGGCCACGGCATCCACTTACTATCAGATGAACTGTGTGCTCGGTTGTCATCTTATTCTATAAAAAACGCAGTAGGAAAAAATATATTTCTTACCAAGAAGTATGGTTTGCCATTTAGCTGATGTTACAGCAATATACAGTCCATATAACGCCGATATGTGATATATCGAGTACAGAAACACATTCTCATATACGATTACTGTCTTCTCATTAGTTTCCCTAACAACAGTCTTGCCGAGTTCCTCCGTTGGAAACTCTGGAGCTATGGTTTCAACTGGATCTGGCGACATTTTTGCTGTGAAATTAAATGACATTTTATTATTTTCGGCCTTCGAAATTTCGTTTGACAAACGCCATTATTTTGAATTTACCTGCGATTTGAAATAACGTTACCAATTTAAAATAACGGTAATTCACAGTGCTGTGTCGGTCCCTACTTTAACGTATGGTAGTGAAAGTTGGGTGTGGCACGAGAGCAGAACAAACGCAGTAGAAATGCTGTCGTCAAGTAGTATGTTAGGGCTGAATCTGAGTGACAAGGTGAGAAATTGTGTGATAAGAGAAGAGTGTGGTTTGCAAGATGGTGTTGTGACCAGGATTAAGAAAGGAATGCGTCGGTGGTTTGGTCATGTGAAAAGAATGAATGAGAAAGGTTGACAAAGCAAATTTATATTGCAGAAGTGAACGGCAGAGTCGGAAAGGGACGTCCTAATATCCCAAGGCTAAATATTGAAAATGGTCCTAGGCCCGACGAGCATGTAAGCGTAGGTATATGGATGTGGACTAGACGAGAAAGGTGTGTTCGGATCGTGCCAAATGGAAGTCTGTATTTTCTGCTTACCCCTCTGGGTGACAGGCCTAAGTGTTTATGTATATGTGTGTACCTATTAAATTAACGTGGATGCGATTAGATATGTGTATTATTTAATTTTCAAATGTAACACAATATATTATATGTTTCTTTCTAATAAAATCAAAAAAATAAACTGCAGTTGACCACCCGCCTGCCAAGCGTGCCAACTATGGCAAATATCCCCCCTATGAGGCAATCTATGGGGGAGACCTATGTTCAGCAGTGGACTTTCATAGACTGTAATGGATTGTATAGAAGATAATCTACCAGGAGCACATGACCCACTCAGAGGTGAAATTATTAAATCAATACTAATATTACAACTATGGCAAATATCCCCCCTATGAGAAAATCTATGGGGAAGGCCTCTATCTAACTGTGAACTTATATAGGTTATAACGATAGCCTATGCGTTTACAACATTTCATGCCTAATTATGCACTATATATATATATATATATATATATATATATATATATATATATATATATATATATATATATATATTAAAAAAAAAAATATTAGATCTTTACCTATGACTTTGCCGCTTTTTATGAAATAAAATCTATAGATAAACTGAAACTAAAGATCAGCACCTAATATCACCCATGCAATCGATACATCTTTGCCAGCGCAGTGGCAGTTTATTTTGATGCCTTTCTTAAATATATCAGCTGGACGGGAGGCAATAAATTATTCAAAGTCATTTTGTACTGCCTCTCGTGTATTGATTATTTTCCCGCCAAAAAGTTACTCCAAAGGGTAGAAAAAGTAAAAGTCTGTAGGCGCAAGGTCTGGTGAGTACGGGGGGTGGCGGAGAGCTTCCAATCCTAGCTCTTGTAACTTGGAGACTGTCTGATCAGTATGAGGTCACGCGTTCGGGAGCAGCGAGGACAGGAGCAGTGGGAGGATTAAGTAAAAATCTGTGATGAATCAAGCGGGCTTTAGATCACCAAACAGTAACCATCACTTTTCTAGGGGTAAGTTTTCGTTTAGGGCATTGTTTAGGTGCTGAACCAGGACTCAACCAACTTGCTGAGTACTTGCGATTGTCAAACAGAAGGCAAGGCAAGGCTCGACGCGTACTTACCGCTGGCCATCGTTGAGTTCGTGTGGAATCAAATTTGTAAACCTTTCTTACCTTGCAAATTTGACACAAATGGAACAATATTGTTTCTATGCTAACGTCGAGAGTTGTTGCTAATTCAGCCTTAGATTGAGTACCATCAGCTTCTAGAATCACCTTTAATTCATCATTGTCGAACGAAGTTTGTAGTATCCACTTCGTAAACGTCGTTGATGTTGCATGCCGCTTATGCCGCGTTACTGTGGTAGTAACTGTGGTACGGAATTGATATTCCATAGTTACTCGAATTTTTAACATAACCACGATGTTGAAAAAAGTTCAAATGTGATGAAAACATAACGACAATCAATAAACAAATGACAAATTGATTTTGAAATAAAATCCCGTGTTTTTAATAAAAATAATTTGAAATTAGAATTGTTAGCCAAAAAAAAAATTTAGATTTGAAATGGCCAGTACCGCTGAAATTTCATAGGTAAAGATTGACTCAAATGCCATCCCAGCCGCACCTTAACCTACTGTCGCTGATAACACAAGCTATTTGCAATGTTGTATTAGACGCATTGATTGAATATGATCCAGGCCGCTCGTAGAATGACGCCGTTTAGTAAAAAGACTAGACCTTTAACTAAAAGACTAATTAAGCTAGTTGGCTATTACATATAAACTAACTAAACATAAACATCCTATAAATCCTATGACTTTGCTAACTACTACTCTACTCTAAACTAAATGAAGTTTAAATTCCTTTTGTACAAATTTACTTATTTTTATATCCGTTAATAACTTAACTATGGTATATTTGTCACATAAATATGTTCTAAATACGTATATACTGGATAACCTATTTTCATCATCGTCATCATCATCATTACAACCCTTCACAAGTCCACTGCTGAACATAGGCCTCCCCCAAGGTATGCCACAAAGCACGGTCCTGAGCCACCTGCAACCATCGATTTCCTGGATGTCTTACCAGGTCGTCACTCCATCTATTGGGGGGTCGCCCTACACTTCACCTACCGTTACGAGGCTGCCACTCTAGAATCTTTTTTCCCCAACGGTTGTCGGTTCTTCGAGCTATATGGCCGGCCCATTGCCACTTCAGCTTACTAATCCGTTGGGCTATGTCGGTCACCCTAATTCTATTGCGGATATCCTCATTTCTAAGTTTATCACGCAGAGAAACCTCGAGCATAGCCCTCTCCATAGCTCGCTGAGCGACTTTGAGCGTCCTCATACGGCCAGCAGTGAAGGACCATGTCTCGGTTCCGTAGGTCATCACTGGTAACCTATTTTACCCTCTGAAAAAATAGGGTGTACCAAGTGAACGGAGAAGCCTATGGCACTGATATTTTACAATTAAAAACAAAAAATTATGTGTGTATATATATAATGTAATTTGTGTAGGATATTATGTAAATCTACATAAATTCGTCCGAAAATTACTTGTACCTTCGTAACATAGCGCAAATCTATCTACAGAAACTTCGCCGCAAAAGTTAGTTTGCTAACACAATATGTCTTTTATGATTATAATTGAGGCTGGCAAAATCCATTGACAGTTTCAAAACTAAGAAAAAATCGCATATTTAATTATCGAGTAGCCTTTTAATTTTTTTACCGAAAAAGGTGACAAATGAACACACAATCACGCTAATGGTATGTGGATGCTGCATCTTTCTGAGACATCTTAGACATCTTTATCTATCAAAATGCAGAGGCGTTGTCACTAAGATGAATGCCTTGCTTCCAGTAAAAAGAGCTCTGCGAGAGCGTGGTCCTACCCCGATCTAACTGACGCATTCGTAGCGTGGTTGTGCAATTGGCAAAATTTTTAATTATTTTTGATTTCTAAGCAATTATTATTATCATCATCATCATCATTACAACCCTCACAAGTCCATTGCTGAATATAGGCCTCAAAAGAATGTCACAAACCACGGTCACTATCGATCGATATCCTGCATGTCTTACCGCGTCGCCAACCCATACGAGCCTTCGCCTACCGGTACGAGGCTACCACTCAAGAACCTTGCTATCCCATCAGCTGTAGGTTTTTTTTAAAGTTACCTCCACACTAGGATTTCCTCCTGTATCGTGGGGGCAGTTTATAAACATAAATTTCAGAAGGACAAACATACAGATCCGAAACAATTATTTGTAGGCCATACAAATTGTTTCGTAAAACTTGTTCCGTGCGGGATTCGAACCCTCGGCCCTTAGCGCTGCAACTCATTGCTAAGCCATTGCGCCACGGAGCCGTCCAATTTTCGAGATTAATATCAATTTATTTATTTATGTGAATAGCTTTACAGACAGAGCAGTAGACTTTACAAACTATAATAATATAATACTCGTAAAGTGGACTGAATGGTTTGCTACCTTTGTCAATGATAAAAAAGAAAAAATAATCTCATAACTTTGTATTTCACATTTTACAATTAATAGTATATTTATTCCTTTAATTGGTTTCCATTATTCCAATATAATTACTGTGTTTCGGTTATTTATTGTAATATTAAGTAATTTTTGGTTCGACGTATGCAAAAGAAAATTAAGGCAAAAATGTTTAAAAAAAATTAATATTCAATAACTAAAGGTAGCCGGGCTAGCCCTCCGTGACCATAGATGCTGTAAACCACCAGAAAAGACGGGAATTAAAAATAACTTAAAATAGTTAATTAAAAGCGATAAAATCCATAAATATAGTTTTATTCAATGTGTAGTGATCGGATAAATTTAAGAGGTCATTACGTTAGAATTTGAATTTTTTATACACTAAATGATGGTTACATTAATGAACAGGTCATTAAAAGAAAGGGGAATGAAAGTGAACGCAAGTAAGACGAAAGTTATGGTTTTTGAAAGAGAAGAAAGCAAAACGGTATGTGAAATAAGAATAGAAGGAGAGTTAATTTAGCAAGTGGATGAGTTCGTATATTTGGGATGTGTATATATTGAACGACGAGTGAATGCAGGAAATAAAGTAAATGGGGCTCTACACTCTATTGTGAAGAGTCAAAATGTGTCAAAAAAGGCACGTATGGAAATTCACAATGCTCTGTTGGGCCCTACTTTAACATATGGTATTGAAAGTTGGGTGTGGCAGAAGAAGCACGAGAGTAGAATAAATGCAGTAGAAATGCGGTCGCTGAGGAGTATGTTGGGGCTGAATCTGAGTGACGGGGTGAGAAACTGTGTGATAAAAGAAGAGTGTGGTTTGCAAGTTGATGCAGTGAGCAGGATTAAGAAAGGAATGCTTCGGTGGTTTGGTCATGTAGAAATAATGAATGCGGAAAGACTGACAAAGCAAATATATGTTGCAGAAGTGAATGGAAGAGTCGGAA